CATATACGCATATACGCATATACGCATATACACATATACACATATACATGTACATATATATTCATACATTAGTCATTCACAGTCTCCAGTCCGAAAACAATTAGGCTATGTCAATTTGTGTGTATTGAGAAGCTTGTATCCAGTAACTTCTTTCAACACATGATTTGTTGAATTCCATCTACCATAGTTTGAACTGTGTCTGAGTGATAAAATGGAGGAGTCCTCTTCTGCTCTTGGGCAGGAAAACCCGGGTATTTCTACAAGTGATTACAAGTGCAATGCAAATCAAATTAACAAAGATACTTGCTTCTCTTTCTAGGAAAAAGAAAAAATTTAAGATAAAATATATTTTGCCACTGAATAAGTTGTGGGCCTTGGATGGTGTGGTCTTTTACAGAAAAAAGGAAAACCATAGTTCCAAGACCCTTTACCTCACATGGCCCACTGGAAATCTTCATGCCATCTTTCGGTAAGACCTACAGTTTGGACCTTTATTCGCAATAGGATAGCTATATAAATTTTAGGCCAATTAGTGCTTCATAATTAACAGTTTAAACAAATTAACCAGAATGTTTGCAAAGTAAGAATTCATTTTATTCTGATTGTATACAGGTTGCCAACTCAAATTTTTCTCTTATATGATGATTCTAGTGTGTTCCCCAATTGGGAAACATCACCTTCAGTGTTCACATGCAGATTCCTGACCACAGCATCAGAACCAACCCCTAAATATCACCAAGTACCAATAAGTTTTCCTGTGATAATATCACTTTTTATTTTACTGACACTAAATAAGAGGTGTGTGTGTGTGTGTGTGTGTGTGTGTCTGTGTGTGTGTGTCTGTGTGTGTTTGAGTGTGTAGGTTGAGCGGTAGAAGCATAATCTACCTTTCTGATAAAAATGAAGAGAATAGAGTAGATGAACAGTTAATGGCAGAAACAAGAATGTGCCAGTCTTTGGGCAAGAATGACTTCATACTTCCATAGGAAATCAAGTTGAATTATAGATGTTAGAACCATGGCAAAAGGGAGAAGAAAATTCTGTGAATGAAAGATTTTGCAGCATGGATAATTATATTCAGGAAGAGGAAACAATGTAAACATAATTTACAGATGGAAAAACTATACCTGACATAGGGTTGTGAGCATAGGGAAGAGTAAAAGTGCATTGGGTAAGGGTTGCTGTTTGGATAAGAAAAACATTGAACAACAAGATAATGTTGATGACTATAAGACACAGTGAATGTGTCAAATATTAATGAGTTCTAACTGATTCAACATAGAATTTGCAGTTATAAAATGTTAGCACTGCGAGTTAATCTTTAACCATCTTAATTTAGAGTATTTCATGCTAAAGTGGAATAGTGATGGGCTTATTAATTGGTCCCAGGAGAGTTGATGTGATGACACACAGATGAAGCACTAGTTTCTGGGATCTCTGTCTTGTGTGAATAATGGTACATTTCTGTGTGAACATGACCTCACGATCAGAGAACACTGTTTTTTTTCTTTGTTTTTATTAATTTGGTGGTATACAACTTTATTTTTTTTAATTAATTTTTTATTGGATTTCAGATGTTATTCATTCTCCATTTCCACCACCAACCCAGAAAACCCCTATTCCATCCCCTTTCCTCCTGCTTCTACGAGGATGTGCCCCAACCCACCAACCCACTCCCAACTCCCTGCCCTCAAATTCCCTCACCCTTGGGCATCCAGACTTCACAGAACCAAGGACCTCCTCTCCTACGTATGCCAAACAACTAGCTATCTTTTTATATATATGAAACTGAAGCTAGGAGTAATTGCTGACCCAGCCATAGTCACACAGCTCTTGGAACATAATCAAGTCTTGACATTCCCAACTAGCTTCCACATTATATTCAACTTCCCGTCATACAAGTGTTCCATGAAACATGTCTTCCAGAAGGGCCGTCATGTGGGGAATACCATCTACTCCTGCACCCTCCTGGTGGTCTTTGGTTTATAATGATTTTTATGTGCAATAAGCTTAAAAGTTGTATCATTCTCAAGTCTCTGATCCTATTTTTCACTTTTAACTTTACAGTTCGAAAGAACAGAAAGAGCAATGGTATTATTTTCTGAAAAGGTATTTTACTTGTGATTATACATTAACTCTGTAATTGATATGGGAATTGCAGTTTGTGCTTTATTTCTTTCTTAAAATTATATTTGGTAGACTGTCTCCAAATATGTTGTTGATTAGATGATTATTGGATACTGCTTTTGATTCTCCTACCTATCACATATTTCACGTAATTTTGAGGAAGTTCTGTATTCATTTTTTCCTTTTTATATTAGAGTATATAGTACTCTTCAGTCTTACTTTAAATTCCACTCTGTAGATGTTACTCTACTGTGTCTATCCAAACCATCTGCTACTCTCTCCTTTGAGGTCAAGCAGATTTTTGCCTTTTCCTTGTGTACTAGTCACTAAACTTTCTCTAGTGCCATGGAACTTATGGACTGTCTGTATATATTAAGGGAATTTACTGTAATGACTTACGTTCTGTAGTCCAACTAAGCCAACATTGGACAGTTATGAATGGGAAATCAAAAACTCTAGCAGTTGTTCAGTCCATGAGGCTAGTTTGTTTCACATGATCTTCTGTATAAACTGGAATCCTGAAGAAGTAGATATCAACAGATGTGCTGGCAGTAACTGCAAGCAGGCAAAGAAGAGTGAGTCTGCCTTCTGTCAATGTCCTTATGTAGACCTCCATCAGAAGGTGTGGCTCAGATGTGTGTACCTCCATGCCTAGATTGGGACCTTGCTTTGTCCCAGGCAGACCTTGCACTCAGAGATCCACTTCCATCAGTCTCTTGGAGTTAATGGTGGGTGTGCCAATTCTACTTTCTGGGGCCTAAGCAATTCATGGCACCTATGCCTCAAGATCTCCATGTCAATGTCCAAGTCAAAAGCCTGTGTCTTCCAGACTCAGGATTTGGATCACAGCTGTGCCCTCCATTTCTGGATTATAGTTCATTCCAGACGTAGTTAGGTTGACAACAACCTTGCAAACAAAGAGTTCTGAGGACAGGCTGTGCTTCCTAGATCAATGTGCTATTACCTTACCGAGGCTTTGGTTCTGAAACATTTTTAAATATTCCCTAATCCAATAATGCACATTGCTAAACTGATTGTCTTGTATTTAACACTAAGATGGTACTTATAAAATATTAACAGTGATTAGCTTAAAAGAAGCTACTAGCAAATTAATTTTACTATGTTTTGTGTTTTTATTGCATTTGAGCAGAGCCATTGATAAAGCCAAGAAAGGTATCAAGAAATCTTTCTCACTGCAGATATTCACTGAGGACATCCCAACCTGCGACAGTGTATGTGAATACAAAGTCAAAACTGATATCTCAAGTTCATGACTAGCCGAGAGACAGGCAGTTTGTAGAATAATGGAAGGTGGAAACATCAGATGGGGGTAGAGGGGAGAGATAGTACGAATTTACGTATATGGAAAAGCTGTAGGTGTATAGCATGCACACATGTGTCTTTTATATGTGATATGTAGAAAGAAATATGAAGCAAGAAAAAAGACGAAATATTTTTTTCTTAAATGACTGAAAATTAAGTCAGGTAGTTTTGACAGCATATATTTCCAAGCCAAGTATTATTATTAGAATTAAGCTGCTTTATCCCAAGTTCTTATTTCTTATCTATTAGCTTATATGTTGTTCAAGTATCATTTATTTACAATATTTCTGTTTAATCAAAAATGATTATATAAGATAATCATAACCAATCTTAAGAAAAACAAAATATTATCAAGAATTAATTTCCTCTCCTCATCCACATGTATCATAACTTTTTATCTCTGTACCCCTGTCCTCTGCTCTTTCAGTATGTCTCTTACTGTGCATCCGGACACCTGCTTTGGAAGGCCCAGTACATAATCATTGCTCTTGATCCTCTTATTGACTTGAATGTCCTAGGGCATAAGGATCTTTTCTTGTGACTTCTGTTTAGTGTATGTGTATGTTTGTGAGTGTGTGTGTTCATATGTGTGTACAGAGCTTAGAATTATCTCATGACTTCGCACATAAGACATAGTAGTTTTATCATTGAGCTACACACATAGCTATTAAATACTTGTTTATTTTCTAATTCTTATATTATTGTTCCATTTTCACCATTGTCTTTAGTGCAGATCAGAAATTTAACTGTTATGTAGCATGCAGAGCATTGAAGACCATTCCTACTGTAAAGCAGAACAGAATGTAGCTCAGAGGATCACCATCTATAAATTGTCTTTTATGAATGGTAATGGGTGTAATATGTACCTAGAGTCAATATTCTAACATGTTACTTTTGAAATTGCACTAAACTTACCAAATGTGTATAATGATCACCACGCAATTTGATCTTCATACTTTCTGTTCTTTTCTGTCCTTTATTTACATTTTAAATTCCAGATTTTATTCCTCCCATCCACTCTCCAACTGTTCCACATCCCATACCTCCTCCCCACCCCCATCCTCAGCTTCTTCTAGCCTTTTCCTAATTCAACCACAGGGGTCATCAGCTTCTGTCCATTGGTTGGGTGTAAATATCTGCATCTGGCTCTTTCAGCTGCTCGTTGGGTCATCCGGAGTGTGTTCATGCTAGGTCCATTTTTGAGAGTGTTCCATAGCCTCAGTAATAGTGTCAGGCCTTGGGACCACCCTTTGAGCTGGATCCTGCTTTGGGCCTGTTGCTGGGGCTTCCTTTCCTCTGTCTCCTCTCCATTTACATCCCTGCAGTTCTTTCAGACAGGAACAAATATGGGTCAGAGTTTTGATTGTGGGATGATAACCCTTTCCCTCTCTTGATGCTCTGCCTTCCTGCTGGAGGTGGGCTTTCTAAGTTCCCTCTCCCTACTCTTGGGCATTTCGTATAAGGTACGTCCCTTAGAGTCCTGAGAGTCTCTCACCTCCCAAGTCCTTGGGGTATTTTGGAGGGTCCCCCCAACCTCCTACCTTCTTAGGTTGACTGTTTTCCATTCTTTCAGTTGGCCCTCAGGGCATCAGTCCTTTTCCCTTGCCAGTACCATGTCAGGTTCCTTCTTCCCCCATAGGCTCCTCCACCCCCATGCACTTTCTTCCCCAGGTCCCCCTCTTCCTCCCTACCTGAGATTGCTTTTTTTCTCTTCCAAGTGGGACTGAGGAATCCTCACTTGAGCCCTTCAGCTTGTTGACATTTTTTAGTTCTGTGAACTGTGTCATGGATATTTGGTATTTGGTATATTCTCTCTCTGTCTCTCTCTCTGTCTCTCTCTCCTTCTCTCTCTCTCTCTGTCTCTGTCTCTCTCTCCTTCTCTCTCTCTCTGTCTCTCTCTCTCTCTTTCTTCCTCCTCCTCCTCTCTCTCTCTCTCTCTCCCTCTCCCTCTCCCTCTCTCCCGGTCCCGCGCTCCCTCTCCCACTCCCGCTCACCCTCTCCCTCTCTCCCTCTCCCTCTCCCCCTCCCCCCCTCTCTCTGGCTAATATCTGCTAATTAGTGAGAACATACCATGCATGTCCTTTTGGGTCTTAGTTACCTCATTCAGGATAATATTTTCTAGATCAATCCATTTGAATGCAAAACTCAGCATGTACTCCTTCTTAATAGCTGAGTAATTATGGAAATGAAGCACAGTTTCTGGATCTTTTCTTCTCTCATGGGACATCTGGATTGTTTCCAGTTTCTAGGTATCACAAATAAGGCTGCTATGAACATAGTGGAACATTGACCCCTGTGGCATTTAGGGCGTTTTTTGAGCATCTTTCTAGGTTATACAAACAGTACTTAAAGAGAAAAGTGTAGTATAAAATTAATTTCTAGCCAGTGACATAAATTAGGAGAACACTCACTAGCTTGGCTGAACTAGACCTGTCCTCAGGAGAGAGAAGAAAAGAAGAGCAGATAGTCCTGTAGGCCTCTTGGCCTCTGCTGCTTGATTTCAGCTCTGGCAAATGCTCATTATTGTACACGAGCGATTTCTCTGTTGTCTTACAACACCACTGGGACTTAGATCCAATTCCTTAAAGGAAACATTTTTACTGATTTTCACCCACGACTGTAGTGCTTTCATACTTTATCCTGCCATAATTATTGAAAATATTTTCTGTATTTCAGAAGATTGGTAATAGATACTTTTCAGCCTTTCTTCATGTGATGCTATGTTTAATTCCCTTTTGTTCTTGAAGAGATGTTTTCAGGACATAAAAAGATACTTGTAATTTAAATAAATATCCTCCATCACTTTTCTTTCTACAGGTTCCCTAGTGAGTACTCTGTAATGATCCTTCATATATTTGTTAATTTTTGGGTGGTTTTCTTTGATATTTTGTTTACAGTTTGGCCCTTTATGTTTAAGAGTTCTTTGAATCATCCATGCATTTTATTACACTTAAAATAATCCTGTATATTTTTTTTCCTTTGGATGAATTAGGAAAATGTTTTTGCTATTCTTACTTATGTATTTCTTTTCCTCGCAATTTTACTTCTTTAAATTATCCTTAGGATGAACGTAGATCCCTAAGACTCTGTTTATATTTTAAAATACATAGATGCAGATGATTTTGGAACCATCTTTATTTGATAATTTCATATAAGTATAGAAATCCACTTCCTATTCACCTGCACGAATCCCAAGATATCCCCAAACTTCTCTCTAAACTGCACATGTCTTCTCCTACTCTTGACTTCAAATACAAATATGCAAAATATTGAGTTTTTGACCTATTATTGTAGAGATAACAATTAATTCCACTGTCCTTATGAGTCAATGACTATGGCATGGTTGGAGGACAGCATTTCTCTACATACCCTGATGGCTTTAAGTAATCTGCTTTGAAATTTATACCTTAGTGATAGCAAAACCTCAATGTTTTACATTAAATTTATTAATATTTAATTTCAATATTTATAGGATTTTTAATTCTATGAGTGTATAGTTCCTTTTTTATGCAGTAAACATATTTTTTTGTATCATTGAACAATTACCAATTTTTTTCCTCATAGTAGGAACATGTGATCTACCATAAGGCTGATCTTCTGAGAATTACTTACATGTCCCTGGTTCACCATGAGTCAAGAAATATTTTAACACGTACAAAAATTCCCAGCTGTCTTTCATTTTCATGCTTTAAAACATTAATTTTAGAACTATTTTGCTTAAAAAGAGTGTGTCTCTGAAATGTATCTGTTTTATCAACAACATCACCATCAGGAAGAAATGCACACATCTTTGCAAATATTAGTTAGATCTTAATATATTTGAAATGCTCTGCAAACACAATATTTTACAATAATATGAATTAAAATTTATGTGAATTATTTCTCTACCACATGTGTGATTTTCTATACTAATACTTTGTTGTTTTTAAACTATATACAAGTTTTCAGATATTCAACAAAATATCAGAAGAGTTAATTTAATTTATTATGCTCCATTTGTGTGTGTGTGTGTCTTCATGCATGTATATGTGTGCTCATGTATGTACTGTTCGACTGTGTTCTAGAATATATGATTTCTGAATCATGAGGTATATTTTCACCTTTAGATGACTAACTCTACATTCTGAGTTAATTCACACAGTGGTTCCTTCCTATTTACATTACAACCACAAGAGCAGAGCTCTTCTTACACATTCTAAGATATTTTTGCATAATGTTTAGTCTATAGATAGCAAGATATAAAATCAGTTAGTGTGAGATGTCCTTGTTTGTAAAGTTCAAGTAACCTGGTATGTTATGATAGAGTCTTGGAGGAATATTCAGCAAATCACACATACACACACACACACACACACACACACACACACACACACACTGATTTTCAGGGTAATAGGTTATGCCCAATGGTCAGAAGACAATAAATAAAAACTCTGTGAAAGAGATGTCTTATGAAGTGGTTTCCTTTGGTCTTGGTTCAAGGTTGTTTATAGAAAGCAGAGGGCACTGTGTTATGTTTCTTACTCTAGGGATTGTCTCTGAGAAACTTACAAGGCTTATTGCAAATAGCTGATACTGTAGAAGCTATCTTTATAAAGATATACATATCTACTTACTGTCATACACTTTAGTAATGTATTAGAATTCCAGTATATCAGTGATATCTTCTCAGATTCCTATCATTTGATTTCATGCTATTTTCTTCTTGCTGTCTTCTTAGGTCTCTGGAGCAGATTCTAAGTGTGAGAGACAGTAGAGAGCTAATAATACAAGCACCTTGCTTGTTCTTGGCAATATTAAGTGATGGAGTAATTCTAAAATATTTATTTCAGGTTCCCAGTTCTATCACCATTACTTATTTCGGTGTTGTATATCTGTATATCATGTAACTGTATACAAAGCATGATATGGAGAGAATACTCACTCGTCTTTTGTTTGTTTTGTTTTTTAATTTTCTTTTGTTTTGTTTGTTTTTGTCTTTTGTTTGCTTTTATCAAATGTAGGTGCTATTTATTCTGATTTTCATAGAACTGAGCACATTCTGTGTATGAATGAAAGGGAGTAAAATGATGAAAGTCTGGATGGAGAGGAAGCAAAGGGGTTTGCTCTGTGTTAACCACCCTCCCTACTTTCCACTGCCATAATTCAAGAAAAAATCAGGATGCTGTGTTCCTGCACCCATGGCTACTTAGTAATCCTTTATTATACACAACCTGTTAGTTATGTTTGTGTTCCAAGTACCCACTTAGTTTTGTGATAAACGTGGTAGATTGACAGTCTTCCAGATTTAACTCAAGGAAAGGAAACACATTGTTCATTCTGTATTAGAGTTGCTATTACAGACTGTAGATTATAGTAGTGATTAGACACTAATTTTGTAATCATGAGGATCAAAGTTATTCTCTTTTGTTTGTTTTGTTTTTTAATTTTCTAATTTTAATTTTGTTTTTTTTTTAATTTTGTTAAACTCTCTTCTCTGCACTGTTCATAGCCTTTATGTGTATCAGCAACAACCATCGATACGGTGAATGGTATAATGAAGAAGTTACTACCAATGATTAGAGTGCCTGTAAGTTCTTTTCAAGTTACTTTGAGTTAAAATTGAAATTTGTTTTTAGGTACATTTGTGTGCAAGTGTGTATGCAAATAAATAATATATATAAAACTTAATCATGATAAGTTTATAAATCATATCTTACAATCTTTTCCCTTTGGAGCTAATGGCATCTTAGATATAATATTAATTTTTACAGGGACTTTTTCTTGAATTTCTTGCCTATGATTCCATAGAAATTAAACCCATAGCCCAAGGATATTGAGCTATACTTTTTCTATCACTAGACATTAAAGATGCATCCTAACAAAGTGAAATTAACTGGTCATACGCACACACGATAATTTAAAGGATGCTAATCTTAGAGACAACAGGATTTTTCTTTCTTTTTCTTTTCTTTTTCTTCCATTCTCTTCATTAAAATTTTATTGAATTCCTTTATGGTATATAAATCCTCTCCTCCCCTATTCTTTCTTGTTTTCATTTCTCTGTGTTTGGAAGCATAAGTGTGCATGTTCTAGTGTATTGTTGTTGTTGTTTTTAAATTTGTAATAAATGTTTTTGTCTGTGTTCTTTCTCTCTGCATACATGACTGTATATTTTGTCTTTCTGTTTTTAAATGGGAATGTGTATTTCTGTCTATTTCCCACTCTCTGTTTCTGTCTATCTGTCTCTGTCTCTTTGTGTGTGTTTTTTGAATGTGTGTTTGTTGCTCTCTATAACTTCCTGTGAGTTTGTATGATGACTCTCGTTCTCGTTCAGTGTCGTTCTGTTTCTCTGTCTCTATCACTCTTTCTCTGACTCACTATTTCTTTTCCTTGTGTGTTTTAGTGTGTGTAGGTATGAGTATCTGCTTGAGCAGACTTTTATACCTTAGTTTAATACTTAAGAACTCTATGGGACAATTCCTTGAGTGGTTTAATCATGAATCAACAAGAGAGTTCAATAAATGATAACACCAGTTAGAGGATATTATCATTTTAGTCACTCCTGGAGGTCGCTAACCATTTCTTTCTTTTCATTTATTATTTAGTTTTTTACACTCCATATTTCATTGACTGCCCAGCCCCCATCTACCCTCACACTATTCCACATCCCATACCTCTTCCTGACCCCACTGTCTCCATGAGGATGTGCCCACCTCCCATCCACCACCCCATCTGACCTCAAAACTCACTGGGGCCTCCAGTCTTTTGAGGGTTAGGTGCATCACCACTGATTGAACACAGACCCAGCAGTCTTCTACTGTACATGTGTTGGGGCCTCATATCCGCTGGTCTAGGCAGCATTTTGGTGGTCCAGTGTTTGAGAGATCACAGGGGTCCAGATTGAGTGAGACTGCTGGTCCTCCTACAGGGTCATCCTCCTCCTCAGCTTCTTTCAGCCCATCCCTAATTCAACCACAGGAGTCAGCAGGTTCTAACTATTTCAACAGAATGTTCTATGTATATGACTGTTTCAAATGGATCCATTACTTGGTGTGCAATGCTTATGTTATGGAATTTCTTTCCAGTATCTGGCCTATTTTCCAAAGTAGACACACCTTCATCCTTTCCATAGACTGGATCTCTCTGAATGAAAATCAATGGTTGTGTGTACTCCTAGGCACCTTCAAAGCTTCTATGTTTTTGTCCATTTTTCTCGTGTTGTCATAGTAACCATAGCTTTCAAATGTCTTTATCAAGTCATCATAATCACTGGGAGTATATGACTCTCTGAGTACTAGGTTATGTGCTCATGCCAAATCAACAGTCAATACACCACAGACCAACTGGAGAGAGCTTTGTGAGTAATTTTATAATAATATTGTCTTGGTGACTGTTCATGGAAGAATGCAATTTCTTATTTTACTCTGGATCAATACATCAAGGTTTCCTCAGAGAGGAAAGGCACGTACCCAAGGGTATTTCTCTGAAATCAGTCCTGATGATTCAAAGCTGTGGTCAGAACACTTGCCATTAATACTGGTCCTAATAATTTCCCTGGTAGACAACTGGAAATTGTAAGAAAAGAAACCACTATATTCTTCAAGATTCTACTGTCAGATTATTTGTGACTGTTGGTTCTTTTTGGCTCCCAGAACATTGAAGACTACCAACTGTGGTTCTGTCCTAGCCAATGGGAAGCTCCAAGAGTACTCCAAGGTAAATAACAGGAAAATCTAATGAATGACTAGCTGAGTTCAGTGGTCTAAACCTGAAGTCTCAATGTTTTCATTATTTAGTCTTAAGTATCAGTACACACTAAGGCAAAATAGCTAAACATATTTTCATTAATTATATTCATAATTAACAACTTTAATAGAGCCTTCCAGCACATGATAATATGTAATTATGAAAGAGTCATAGGTCTGACAAAAAACAAAATCAAAAACTGAAACTGTGTTTTCTATTTGAGAACCATAATTTTCCTAAAGTGAGAATAAACAAACTCTGGATATATTTTTTCTGAAGAAAAAGGAAAAAATCATTTGGTAATCATTACTGAAAATGCTACTAGCAGAAGAAATTTTTCAGTGATTCCCAACACCCATGTGAGAGCTCATGATAGCCATCCATAACTCCAGTTTCAGGAGATCAATTCCCTGGTCTGACCTGCTCAGGTATCAGGCTCAGAATGGTACAAAGATATACATCGGAGCCAAACCGTTGCAAACAGAAATAAGTCTAAAATTAAAATGAAAACAAGTTCAAAGAACAACTCCCTGTCTTTAAGGAAAGTTCAGTCCTAAGCCTTTTTTATTTTGTGCATGTGTGAAAGTTTTTCACAAGCAGTAAGAACTCTAGCAACTTTAAAAGCTATTCTGTTCATTCCAAACAATGTAGATTCTGCTTCATAATGAAAATTATAAATGTATGCATATCTCTGAGTCCATGTGAAATATTCAGTTCACATCTTCCTTTGGCCAGTAATTCCCCCACTGAATGAGAGAACATTATCAGATTATTGACTTCCTGATTGAATCATCTGCTATTCCTTCTATTGTATTTTTTTTATTTCTCAATAACTAAATTATTCTCAAGTAAATAATGGTAATAAAATGATGAGAAGCAGTTGGATCAAATTTAAAATTGTGACATAATCAAGAGTGTTTGCAAAGTTGATCTTTTAAAAGCTAATGGAAACATGAAGTTCTAATACATAAAGTGATCTTCAGACAAGTGACAGTAACAATGTCTTTTGGAGATGAGAGAGTATTGTTATTCAAAATTTTCTCATGTATCATTCAAAAGAATCTGCGGGGATATTCTTGATCATTTGAAGTAATCCAAAACTGGTATATTTTGGTTTACATAAATATTTATTTTCAGGGTTTAAATAAACTAGACCCTCAACCCACTCATTGGACTTTATTTTCCTCCATGCAACAGAGTATTGCTATTGAGTCCAGGCAAGGAAGGAACTCTCAACCCTTACTATTTCAATCAAATGAGTGCTGAAAATACAGGAATGTGCCAAAATCATCTGGTCTTTTCAATTTTAAAAGATTGAAACAATAGCAGTACTCAGTCCATGAAAAAAATAAATATGGACATTCTAAAATAAATTCATGTAGTGAAATGTGTCAAATGGATAACATTTTAAGGTATGGAAGAGTTTTGTTCATCATGAATGCTTCAGAAATCCTAAGAACTTAAAGCTCTTCTTAGTTTCTCAGCATGATTTTAAATGTGTATTTCATCCCACAGGCCATATGCTATTATGTATCCCTCATCTCTATATTTTTTTCCTATTGATCACTAGGAAGGATCTGGAGAACTTTCATCTCAATATTGCTTTAAATCTTGCTCTCATTGTTTCTGACATTCTATCTGTGGCAGAAACAAAGGCAAATCAAGACTTTAATCATATTGGTGATTCATCAGAAATGGACAAAGCCAAGGTTTCATACTTCCTAGAAAAGCATATCTATCACACAGCACATACTCTCTGACATTTCGTTAGAGAAGAAATAACTTAAAACAGGGGAGAGCCCATTAAGCACACAGATTTAATTCAAATTTTCTATTTGTAGTTCTGGCCCAGAGTTACTGTTTGTTGGAACAGACTAAAAGTGGTGTTGTGAGAAAGGCATTATCTTAGTGCTTGTAAGAAATCTTCACACGCACACAAAAGAAAAATGTCTTGTGACCACAGTATCCTTAAAGACACTGAATTGTTCTTCAACTGTGCTTGCATGACTTCCCAATGTATAGCAGATAGGAGAGAGTTGACATCATCTATTGTTGTTCATATGGCTCTATGGAGAAACATGATTTGTCTGTCCAGCTTTGTAATTGTACACATTCCTCTGGTGACTCTTCTTAATCTTCAGATTATAAATTATCTGATGTGATGTTTATTGCTTACAAATTCATCCTGGGTCATTATTAGGCCACATTCTTCCAGGTCCATGTCTCCATCTAGAGTACTAAGAAAATGTTGTGTGTCTAAAAGGGCTCATGTATATTTTAAAGCATAAAGCATCAACCTGACCACTGTAAGGAGAACAGCAACGGGAGGAAGCAGAGACCATTCCACTTCACCGATTCCAAGAAATCCTGTCCTCATAACTGTGAATGGAAATGGGCTCTCTCTATATGAGGCTGTCATCACAAGAGAAAAAAATATTGGACAAAAAGTGCTTGACATGGCTAATAGAATTACTTAAAAAAATTCCAGGCTCCAAACCGTAGGAAGATATATATGCAGTGGGAATTATTTATATTGATTAATATAAAGATAGACAAGTAAACTAAATTTCTCATGATGTAAAAATCTTGATACCAAGAGTATAACAGGCAGGTCTTAATACTGTTAGAGTAGAACACAGCAGAATCTGCCAAATAAAGTTCTCTGATAGATATAAATAAAATGATGAATTGAAATTTATCTTCTCGATTTTAGAGTTCTCAGCTTACACATCCTTCCTTTATCATTATATCCCTCTAAGTCTCCTAATGCTTAGGGTGTACAGTCTACATTGTCCAGAAGAAGAATGAGACACAAAACACAGCAGTGCATGCTAAATCCCATTGGAAGTTTTCTCACACTCATTATTACTAGATTTAATTCATATTCTTATTTTCTTCTTGTAGGCTACGAGTGTCCACATGATATTATACTGACAAACCTTCAAACTAACTTCAGTAGACTGAAATCAAGAATGTTCCCAGCTTTTCCAGCCTTGCCTGGGCTGCTTGTGAACGACATGTACTCGGATGCACAGGGGCAATTCATCTTAAAGCCCATCTCATTGTACTCAGCTAGAAGCCAGCAGCAAAGTGAGTCCTCCACCTTCCTTCAAGTACCAGCTCAGTTCCCATCTCAATTTGGCATAAAATATCAATGCATCGTGTCATTCTCTTGCTTGAGGGAAGGACAATGGAGAAAACAAACCACAAACAAAATTAAATGGCCCAAGTCCAGCCTAAGATCTCTATACTCTTATATGAAGCTTGATTATAGGAAGAACATTACATTTGTCCTAGATA